AGCAGCCCGGGCTCTGTGGCCGCTAGCCCGTCCGGGGGAGGCGGCCGCAGGAGGGAGCCGGCGCTCGAGGGCGTGCTCAGCAAATACACCAACCTCCTCCAGGGCTGGCAGAACAGGTAACCCGCCAGCCGCCCGCGCCACCGTGCACAGCTCTGTGTGTGTGTGTGTGTGTGTGTGTGTGCATGTGTGTGTGTATGTGTGTACGCGCGCGCGCGATTGTGCCTCCAGTGAACCGGGTGATGCCTCCCAACGGTGCCCTTCCTGCGTCCCTGCTTTCCTCCAGGTGGGGTTCTCAGGATGGGGCGCGCCGTGTCTCCACCCCGGGACCGCACCACAGTGGCGGGGAGGGAGGCGAGAGCCCAGGTTTTCTTCTGTGCTGGCACCTGCAGAAACTGGAGTGGCAGGAGGAGCGTGCTGGTCCCCGTGCTCTGCTTGTCCGTGGTTTCCCGCACCCCTGAGGAATGACTGGGAAAGGGAGGCAGAAGGGGCGTGCTTTGTGCCTGGGTGAAAAAGCGTTAGCACGTCTGCTCCGATTACAGTAATTCTCTAAATACCATAGTTCATTTTAAAGTTTGGTGTTTCAGAACACTACCACCATCAACAAAAATCCTGCCACTTTGACAAGTGCACATACTCCTGCCCCAGTTTGTGCCTTGCAACCTCCGATGTCTGTAACGGAAATTTTGTTTGAAAACAGAGGCCAGGCGCGGTGCTTCACGCTTGTAATCTCGGTACTTTGGGAGGTCAAGGTGGGCGGATCACGAAGTCAGGAGTTCGAGACCAGCCTGGCCAACATGGTGAAACCCCGTCTCTACTAAAAATACAAAAAATTAGCCGGGCGTGGCGGCGCACGCCTGTAATTCCAGCTACTCAGGAGTCTGAGGCAGGAGAATCGCTTGAACCCGGGATGCGGAGGTTGCAGTGAGCCGAGATCGCGCCGTTGCAATCTAACCGGGCCGACAGTGCGACACTCCGACTCAAAAAAAAAATAAATAAATAAAATAAAAAGAAAGAAAAAATACCCTCGCCGCTTTTAATATTAATAGCAATTTACATTATTATCATTATTTCCTCTTCAGGTCCCTTTTGAAGTTTCGTGCTCACTTCCACCGCACAGTTGAGAAGCCTAGTTGTGGACACGTGGAAGGATGGGGCTGTCGAGGAAAGGGGCTTAGGAGGCACTTGGAACGGTGGTAGTGTGTGTGATCTGCCATCGTGAGGAAGACAAGAACAGATGTGGCACTGCTGTTTACTTTTTGTTTTTTTTTTTCAATTTGTTTTTCAAAAGCAAGCCAGAGGGAAATACAAGTGTCAGTGCGAGGAGAGCAATGCTTTTTGGAGAGGTGGTTGGTGGGGTATTTTGTCCTGCCTATTTAATAGTCTCCAGATCTTAATAGACTTGGGGCTCTTAAGGATGTTTGTGAGATTTGAATCATATCCTGGAACGTTGCTTATCTCTGTTGCATGGACGATATTACTTGGTTATCTCTTCCTGTAGATTGTTTGGAAATGTTCAGATTTGCTTCCATCTGAAACGTATCAGCCAGTTATTTGCACGAAACTCAACTTGGAGGAAGAGGACTTTTGAAGTATGGAAACCGAGTCGTTTCTATATTGATACTGTACATATAGGACTTTCTGAGTCACCTGGGCTTCCTGGGAGGTGTGCTACTATGTTAGTGGAAGTTGCACTTAATTTTTGAATCCTTTTATTTTTCAAAATAGTCCTAGTGTCTGCTGTTGCCTCTCCCTTTCCCCTTTCAATTCGTGAAAGCTGAAAAAGAATAGGTAGAATGCGTAGGTACAGGGAGATGTGAGATGACTAAATCTGATTTCAGTTCTTGGTAATTATGTCTTGTTAATGGGAACTCATGGTGCCTTGTCAGTAACAGCATTTTGTTGGTGTGTTGAGCAATCACTTTTATTGCTTTTTCTTCAAGTAGCTTATGAGGCCAACAGAACTTTTGCCCTGGATTACAGTTATTTTATTATTTACTTGCTGGGGAACAATATTTTACCTGCAATGTGTATTAAAGGATTTGTTCTTTGGAGTGGATTTAGGAGGCATTGGAGTAATATTCTTTTGCATTATTTTAAAGCCATTGTGGTGTTTAGGTTAGAGGCAAGGTTGAGAAGAAGCACATTTAATGCCATTAATAATACCTATGTGATCGCAGGCTACCTAGGTGAAATGTTGTATTATATACACTCCTGAGTGCGCTTAAGTGATGTCTCATCTTTATTGAATTTGTTTACTGTGATTTATAGCCGTCTGCCTATGTTTGTTCTTACCACAGTAGACTCACCGTTCTCCAAGTCTACCACTGACTCCATAAGCATTGTCTGTAATTGTTAACATCTCAGTGTCAGGGTTTCTATTTCCCACATTGTGTTCTCTGAACGATGGCTGAGGGTCCATTAGTGGTTTGGAGAAGATTTACGATGACTCTGTGATTGCAAAATTCTCCCTTCTCTAGGGGTCTTGTGAAAGGAGAGCTGGATTAGTGAAAAGGAAGAGAGAAAAGGATAAAAATAGAAACTTTGAAAATGTATTCATTTGTTCATTTGTTCAATTAATTTATCTATTCAGAGACCGTTTTATTGAGCACCTACTATGTGGCAGGCAGTGTTCTAGGAGCTGGAGCTACTATCCTTCCCTGGTCCAGGGAAATGCCTTAGTGCAAATAGCCAACTGATTCATGCTGCCTTTCTTTCTGGGCCTCATAGCATCTTCCTTTGGCAGTTCTTTTCAAAGTGCCCACAGTTAATGACAAATCTATAGCAACCAAGTTCTTGGTCCATCCTCTGAGGCTGCTGTGCAATTGTAATGCTCTTCACCAGCTCCCAGGACTTAACACCGATCACCCACTAACAGTTTGTACCCTGGTGTCCTCTTGCGTGTTCTCAAGTTGCCATAAAACTTATATTTTAACATTTGGCATCATACTCTGCCTTTATTTGTAGCCTCATCCTCATGCCCTTAGGAAGGCAGTTTGGGCCAGAATACAAAATAAGTGACATAAAGAGAGGTCACAGAGAAGAAAACTGCATGATGGGAACGTGCTGAACTGAGGAGAGTAAGTTCAGGACATTTGGCTCACACTCACTGGATGAGAATGTGAAATACTTAGAGTATGGGGAAAACATGCATTAAGGTCTTTCTGTCATTCATTATAGATATTTAAGGAAAATATTTCAGGCATAATAACATTGTATAGATTTACAGGATGGCATTGAAGAGTCAGTGTGTCGATACAAATGAACAACAATAAAAAATCCAGAAAGTGGCAAGTGCTATGAAGGTTAAAAAAAGGTGATGAGATAAAGGCAAGTATTTGTAGCAATAATTTTAAGTGTGGGTCTAGTGTCTTTACTGCTATTCACATTTTAACTTAGAGCACTCTCTTATTACCCATCTTATCACTCATCTAGAGTGAACCAGGGGGAGAGTAAACCTCAAGAACTTGGGGAGGCACATGACATAGCACCTAGTTGGCCAGGATTAGAATTTCAGACTGGGTTCTGGTGGCCCAGAAGGATTTTAGGAAGGGAAGTGATCCTTATTTGGTCACTCTGGCTTCTGTGTAGAGATGAGATTTTCAACGGGCCAAAGCATGAAGCAGGGAGACCAGTTAGGAGCCCGGCTGAGTGGTTTAGGAAAGAGATACTGGTGGCCTGGGCTGGGGGTTGGCAGAGAGTTGGAGAGCCGGGATGGATCTGTTGTGGAGCGGGTGGAAATTGCCGATGAATTTGATGTGGAGGTGAGAGGGGGCATGGATAACTCTTGATTTGTGGGTCTGAGAGGCTGGGAGGTTGAGACGTCCTTTGTGGAGATGAGGATCACAGGAGGGGAATGTGTTTGTGGGGAGGGTGAGGCTTGGCCACGAGTTCTGTTTGGACTGTGTTCAGTTTGAGATGCCTACCCGTAGTAAGAAACTGGCTGTAGGAACTTTCATTTGCCCTACGTCTAACTTTACTCTCAAACTAAAATGGAACTATTTTGGAGTTGCTGATAATATCAAGTATCTGAGGAAATAATTTCTAATTGGATCTAGAAATCGTTATTTAAATATCTAAGGGTTGCCATTGCCATTCACTTTTTCTTATTTGGAGAAAAGAAGACACTGCAAATGTGGAACCAACCTCCAGTTCTCTTTTTGGTGATTGGCGGGGTTGTAAGAACTCAATAAAATGCTAAAGGACAACAAATCTTGACCAGGATTAAGGAAGACAAGGCTGGGTGCATTGGCTCACACCTGTAATCCCAGCACTTTGGGAGGCTGAGGTGGGAGGATCACTTGAGCCCAGGAGTTCCCGACCAGCCTGGGAACCATGGTGAAACCCTGTCTCCACAAAATAAAAATATAAAAATTAGCCAGTTGTGGTGGCTTAGACCTGTAGTCACTGCTGCTCAGGGGTCTGTGGTGGGAGGATTGCTTGAGCACCAGAGGTCAAGGCTGCAGTGAGCTATGATCACACCACTGGACTCCAGCCTGGGCAACAGTGGAAGAGCCTGTCTCTAAAGTAGACGTTTATTTGGGGAGGAAGAGTAGTGTAGACTTTGGATTCAAATCTTGATATCAACACTTAGCATGCATGTGACCATGGGCTAGCTCTTTAATTGCACTGGGCTTCTGTTGTTCTCTTCTGTTAAATGTGGGAAATGATGCTACTCTTTTCATTAGTTCAATGTGAAGATTAAATGAGATTATCGGTGTATAAGGGACTGAGAATAGTACATAGCAAGATACCAAGAAGTGGTAGCTATTATTAGATCTTCAATTTGTCTGTTTTTAAGTAGGCACTTTCTGGTCCATAAAATTCTTGGTTTTTATTCTGAGTGCTGTGGTTACCCTGGGACCACATTAACATAATTATCATAGAGTTCTTTGGGGAGAAGATGATTACTTTATTTTGAAGGGATCCTTTTAAAACTTGGCACCAAACATTTACAGCTCCCCTTCCTAGCCTCTAATTCCTATCTTCCTTTCCTATTTTATTTCTCTCTATATACCTTGCTACTATCTGACATGCTTTATATTTTCCTTTTTTTGGTCTCTCCACACTAGAGTATAAGCTCCCTGAGGACAGATAATTTTTTCTGTCTTTGTCACTG